TTTGTATCTTTAAAAATACAAATTAAACAAACTTTTTAAACTTAATGTAAAAATTAAATTAAAATAAATACATTAGACTCGAGGGAATAATAAATACATCTTTTATTTAAGCATTGTTTAGAGCAAAACATGATTAATTACTTTCAGTAATAAATTGGAGTGGACCCCATTGAAGAGCAAATGTCTACCGTTGGGTGGACAATCACATGCTGCCCCAATGAGCACCTGTATAATTCTCTGGATTTCTTTGGCTTCTTACTATAATTAATGCCTCGGCTTCCCATGACTTTGCTACACATACACCATTGTGGTATCAAAATTTTCATTGGTTTATCTCCCTTTCTTGATTTCATCAAGGCATTTGGCGACGAACACAACGTTACCAAGAAATTAAGCTACGTACACAAGACGATTTTGAAAATTGAAATTGCTATTATTCCATTTCATTATGTCACTGAAATCCATGCCCACACCTTTGGGGTCCTCAATTCCCTTGCGGGGGTGTTTGGTGTATTTTTTCAAGAAATATCTCTTTATAAGATTTTATAAGAATATTTTAATATTTATACATTTTAAAATTATAATTAATAAAGGATTTACCTTTTCATTTTAGTTTTTATTTTTCTAATCTTGTTTTTATTTTTTGCATTTATTTTTTTTTTTTTTTTTATAAAAAAATTTCTTACAACTTTTTTCATATTAGACTCCTTTAATGGCTTTTTTATTTTTATTAATTTCTTACCAAACACAACAAATTTAACAATTTTACAAAATTTCAACAAAAATTTTTTACAAGCTTAATAATTTTTTATATAATACTTTATAATTTTTTGTATAGTACCTTTTTAACAATTTTCTCAATAAAAACTTTCTCAAAAAAGTTAGCTTTTAACCAAATGCACCCTTAAACCCTCTCCTTCTTCCTACTACTCCCTTTGTTTTAAGACATAATTAAGCCGTTTTAGAGATTTCTACATATATTAAGAAATCTATAATTAATAACCTTAATTATAGGGAAACTTATCTTTAAATGTACTTCAACATCTACAAAGCCCATCTTTACAACAATCCATTTTTAGAATATTAAAATTATCAAATATTGCAAAACCCAAAAGATGAGCCATTCAAAATTCACATCAAAGTCTAAAAACAAAAAAAGGACAAATATCAAAACTAATTTCATATTAGATTAGGATAAGTTCCTGAGCAAGATAAATAACCATTTTGAATATAGCAATCGGAGAGTCATACCAAAGAAGAGGGTTTTAGTTCGAGCCAAATGTTTGCTCTAACCCATTAAAAGGATGTGTATTTGATTAGATAAAATCAAACTAGAACAAAGATAAGAATAGAGTAAGAGCTATACTTTGATCCAACTACAATTTCATGTACAACTCCAAATAAGTAATCAGTCAAATTTTCTTGTTTCCTCAAAGTCGTTGAAAAAGCACCCTTGATTATTTAAAGTTTGTACCAAAACAATCAATAAATCAAAGTACCCAAAGTTTAGATTTGTTTGGCTATAATAGCACCATAAGAAAATTAAAAGGGACATCTCTATGTCAAATTAAGTTATATACACCTCTAGAATCAAAACTAAAAGCACCATAAGAAAATTAAGAGGGATATCTATATGTTAAATTAAGCTTAATATATCTTTAGAATCAAACAACAAACACCATAAGAAAACCGCATATATAATGAAGAATCTATGTTAGGGTCTAAAATTGAGAAATATAATTCATTCCAGCAACAAATCAAAATGTCTCAAAGGTATTTCATCAAACACATATAGCAAAACACAACCACTGAACCATGAAAGACCCAACTCAAACTTCCCAACAATCCATCCACTTCTTAGTCAAAATACATGCTTAAAAATGTTTAAGAAACCAAACTTCATACATCTTTCTAACAAAATGACAACAATTCTTTTTCCACCTTGATTGCTTCATCAAGAAAACTTGGTGGCAGCAATTCTCTTTCTTCGATCGACAACAATTTTTTTTCCTCCAAATTGCTTCCTCAAGAAACTTATTCAAGTCAATACCACACAATCCATTGAAGCAGTTTCCAAATCAATACGACAATCTACTAAAATATTTTCCGAATCAATATTGTAATCTACCAAAGCATTCAAATCAATGTCCAATGCAGCTTTCTTCCATCCCCTCTTAGGCATCAAACCCAAATCTTGAGGCATTTGGTCGTTGTCTTCCATTGCTTCTCAATCATTATGAAATGATAATATTGCAACCATATTTAGAAGGAAGTGAAACTTAATTAGGCATCGATAATTTGAGAGAAATTGAATAGCCGTGTCACAATTCATTTAGATTCTCTAGCCAAGAAGAAGATGAAGAAATGAAAGGTTTGCATGCGCAATTGAAAAGACTTTCTATAATTATTAGGTATTAGAAGGTAAAAGTGAAAGATAAAATATTAATATTACATTGAAACGAAAAGTAAAACTGAATAGAGAAAAAACACCAAAACGCCTTACATATTGAAATGAAGGGAGTCTTAATATTAATTATCATGATTTGCGAGCAGAAATCTTGCTGTAGCCATATAGAGGTCAAAACTTTGAGAGATAGATGTATAGATAAGAATATGAATTGTCAATTTTTTATTTAAGGATATGAATTTTTTGAGTTTTTAAATGGCCAAAGCCCCTATTTGCACCCTCCATTTATTTTCTTTTCGCAGTCAACACTTTCCAAATATTTTCCTCTTGGTCAACACCCTCCACTTTTTCAAACCTATGAAAAATCCAATATTTTAATGGAGCGTCATGGAGATGTTAATGACCGTTAAAAAATACAATACGTGACATTCAAATAATGATGTGACCATTATGTGGCATTATGAATCCAACGTGGATAATTTTTGATGATGTGGCATAATTTTTTATGCACACGTGGATGCTTAAATAAAAAAAAAAGGAATTAAATGAATTAAAACGTAATTAAGTTTAATTTCTTCTATCTTCTTCTTTCTCCTTATCCTCCTCCTCATCCTCAACATCATCTTCATCTGGGTTCCACAAGCTGGGTTCCTCGTGGGAACCCTGTTGCTGGGTTCCTCGAAGGAACCTTGTTGCTAGGTTCTATCTCGCTCCCTAGGCTTCTTCTTCTTCTTCTTCTTCTTCTCACTTTTCCCCTCTCTCGCAAGAGGTAAGGTACGATCGACCGTGATGGATCTATCTCTATTGGATGGCTTCTGCGATTTCAAATTATGTGTCCATGTCCTGTTTCCTTATTCTTAGCTTCTGTTTGTAATTTTATTTGTTTGCTACAATTCAAAATTGCAATTTTGTGAAAAATATGGATAATTTTTACTAGGTCTTACAATTGCGCTTTTCTTCCTTGTGGTTGGTACCTTTTTAGCTATTGTGATTTATCTTTTGGCAAATTCAAGTCTTTGAATGATCTCAATTTGTGCATTTTGAATGATTTGTTGAGGAAGATTTAGTTTTCTCTATGTTCTTGCTCATTTGGTCTCCCAACATTACCTATGTATATGTAATCACAAGCATATGTAGGATTTTTCTTTGAGCTTAATTTTGCAATTTTTTAGTTCTTTGTTTTGTTCCTTTGTGTTTTGGCAATCCTTAATTCCAACTCTAGCATTTATTTTGAACTTTCGTGATGATATAAATCCTAGAAATGGGGCTTAGTTTCTAGCTTCCACGAGGAACTCAGGATGATGAAGAGGATGGTGAAGATGATGTTGCCAAGGAGGAGGCATCCATGTGTGCATAAAAAATTATGCCACATCATCAAAAAAGTATCCATGTTGGATTAATAACGCCACATCACTATTTAAATGCCACGTATTGCATTTGTTAACAGTCATTAACGTTTCTATGATGGTCCGCTAAAATATTGGGTTTTTCACGGGTTTGAAAAAGTGAAGGGTGTTGATTAGGAGGAAAATATTTGAAAGATGTTGATTGCAAAAAAAAATAAATAAATGGAGGGTGCAAATAGGGCCTTTGGTCTTTTCAAATCAAACAATAAATTTTCACTTTTTTTTATTTAACAATACAAACTTTACTATTTTTTCTATTTAACGATACAAATTTTGTTCTATTTTGATTAAGATTGTCAATCATCACATCATCTTCATGCAATACATCTTTCAATAAAAAAATGGCAAAATTTATATCTTTAAGTAAAAAAAAGTAAAAATTTATTATTTGATTTAAAAACTTAAAAAGTAATTATCTATAAATAAAAAAAATTAGTAAAATTCATATCATTACCTAGACCTCATCTATATGAAGACACATGTAAGGCCACATCCAAATCAAAGATATATCTAGAAAAATTCAGCCTCAACTCCACCTCATTCCAATCCACCACCAAATAATGTTCTGCAGTTTACACCTAATCATTGTCGTATTTGTTAGTATTTCTTTAAGCTAAGAGTCTCTTGTCGTAGAAAAAAATTCAACAGTATGAGTATGAAACTTTAATTTCTTAAGTTTTAAATTCAAATATGTTCAACGTGCGAGGAAGAATGCAAGTTTAACAAGCAGGTTCCTGTTGTATATGCGTGACTAGATCGATCTTACATTGGTGCAAAACTTTTTGGTTTTATTATCAATTTTGGAACTTATCTTTGGGGCAAATGTGTGTTGTATTTTTGTTTTTTTTTTTCACAATTTTTTTCTCAAAGTGAAACGTTAACTAGATTTAGAAGTAAAATTGATTCTACATTGAAGGTACAAAAGATTAATGCAGATTATGTGCAAATTGTATCATGTATTTTAGGTATCGGAACAACATCCTTTTTGTGGTCCATTGCCCATACGAAAAATGCTTCACCATTTCTTCGATTTGCGTCCATTAGGGTCAAACTCAAGTTGATATCTTTTCCCCACCTAATTAAGTTCTTTACATATGGATAATTTGATTAGTACTCCATGCCTCCACTTTTAGAGAAATTTAGTTGTGTTATGGGATACATCCAACTTAATATTTTCAAATAATGAAAATATGATAATTCAAAAATCTCTACATAAGACTTCTATAGAGACTTCACACCTTGGTCACACATTAGCATGAGATGAAGTTCAATTCATGAGATCTTTATAGTAATTGGGATACCTTTGACGTGAACTTGGGATATACATTAGAATTTAGAAATATCACTGTGAACTTAAGATCAAAAATTTCAAATTTAAATTATTTTTTTATAAAAAAATTAAGAAATATTGACGATGCTTCCCCATGGTTAAGATGGCGAAAGCACAAGTTTGACCCAATTTACCGCTTACTCTATTTTCATTTAATTTGTGATTAATTTGTTTTTGTTCGTTGATCAATAAATATATACTTGAGTTATATATGCTTAAAAATTTCCTCCAATAGATGTAAATATTTTTCATATTTATCGTCAGAGTACCCCTAAATCAATTTTTATGTATCTCAAAATTAATTCCTTTTCATGTGTTTCTAAGAATGTATCAATTGCATTAGCCTAATATATTTAAAAAAATTAATTTTTCTAGTGTTGATTTCAAAATTTAAACTTTACATACAAAACAACACTTATTTATTAATATATCTAATTATTGGAGTTATAAAGAGAAGTAACATTAATGAAATGGAATTGCTTCTCTAATTGAGCCAATTGGGCAAAAATCAATTTAGGGTACATTTCCATAGAACAATCTCCCTAGCTACTTGGCTACTCTTTTTTTTTTAAAATCTTTTAGGGTATTTAGCTTAATTAATTCTACAAATTTTTGGGACCAAAATAAAACTACAATTTCAAATTTTTAAGACAAAAAATTAAAACAAGGTTTTGGTAAAAAAAAGGAAAAAAACAATTAGAACAAGATTAAGTGCAATATTCCCCTAAATCATGTGCATAAAGTTGGTCCCACAATGTTGATGAATCAAGAAATCATCACCACCGTTGGATACGCCGAAAATAGAATTTTGACCAAGGAATTGTTGCTGCTGGGCTCTCTGTAATTCCGTCTGCCTTCTCAGCTCCAAAACTTTCCGGTGAGAATTTGAATGCTTCGTCGACACGAAAGTCGGACTGGCAGCCGGTCGGTACTCCGGTACTAACCGACCCGACTTGTACCGAACCCCGCACGCATTACACAGTGTTTTTGGACCCATGGGACCGGTCCGCCATTGCGGGGTCTTCTCCGCCGCGCAATGTAGGCATTTCCGACCCGTGGACTCGGTCTGGTTGTCCCGCTTTTTGGGTTGATCCGCCGCCGCTTTTGGGGTGAGGTGGAGTAGGTGCGTACTCCAGTTGCCCGGGGCGGCGCGTGAACGTTTGGACCGAGCTTTGCCTGGCGTCTCCCGTTGGAAAATGGCGGGGCTACGGGCTCCGTACTCAGCCTGGCTTGAGGAAGAAGACGAGTCGGGTGTCGGTGATTTTGACCCGGAAAAAATGTGGAGGTTGCTCTGCAAATTCTGGCCGGTCGAGAACGAATCTTCCACGAAATTCGACAGCCATTCAAGCTGCTCCAAATCATCATACTGTAAAAGAAAAAAAAAAAACCAATTTAATCACAAAAATTCAGGAAAATTCCAAATTTACAAACCTCCCCTTTTTTTTTTCTAATTCACAGAGTTTAATCGAAAATTACAGGAACGCAGAGTTCGCTGGAGAACTGAGAATTTTGACCGAAATTTCCGGGATAGAAATGCTTTTCGCTTCCGGAGTTGCTGGTGACAGTGGAGGAGTCGGTGGAATTTCCCGCGACATTGTCGGGGAAGCCGTCGCTCAATATGGCATCCTCATTGGAGAAGTCAAGGAGGTCGTCGACCATGAAATTCTCGGTCGTTTTCTGCTCCGTCACTCTCTTCTCCGGCGAGAAATCGCTTGAACCGCCGAAGTACCCGCCCGTAAAGTAGTCTGCAGGCTCCATTGACATTGTAATTGTGAATAAACAATATGTACGTAAATGGGAATATTCGAAGAATTCAGAGGAACTGGAAAGAAGTTTCGAGAGAGAAAGGGGAGGAGAGGAGGTAGGTGCCTGGGAGAGAGGGGAGTGGAGGAGGAGGTGGGTTTTGAGGAGAGAAGGGAGGGGGTGAAGTGTAAATATAAGAAACTTGGAGTACCTGTTTACATGGGATTGGGAGGAATATTATTATTTATTTTAATAATGGCAACCGACGGGTGCCAGCACTGGCAAGTGACTGCTGGCACCAAGCTCTGTAAAGAACTGTGTTTATTAGGATAATAACTATTAATTGGTTACTTTTTTCAGATTTTGGTAACAAAATTATAGAAAAATAAAAATCTTCATACTTATTTTTTATTTTATGAAATTGTTTAAATATTTTTAATATTTTTTTTGTATCTTTTGATTATAGGCATTTTAATATTTTTATTATTAGTCTCACACGTATTAATTTTTCTCAATTCCTAATGAACACATGTTATTTCTACTCTTTTTTTATTTTAAATGTTTGTTTTACAATGATAATTTGTAGATATTGTTGCCAATGACATAAACATACGTGGTAACTTAATTTTTATTAAAAGTAAAATATTATGAATTAAAATAATAGGATATGAGTGAGAAGAGTCAAGTGAACAAATGGGAAAAAAAGGTGCCTTTTATCATACAATCTAATATCAAATAATAATATTTGTTACAAATGGTCACATTCTATTAAATTTATTAAATGAGTGGATATATTAATAAATACATATTCAATTAAATGAAAAGATTTAATAAAAATTACCATTAAAACGACCATTACCTAGTATTGTTAACAAATTATTTTTATTCTTTAAATGAAAAGGCGCTATATAATAGATATCAACCCCTTTTTCTTTTTTTTTTTTTGGAAACTCTCCCAACTAGACAAGTAATCAAATTTGGTTAGAGTAAAATAAAAAGAATGAGAGGATTTTTTTTATCAATTAAATTATATTTTTTAAAATATTATAATTTAATTAATCAAAAAATTCTCACTTTCTCTCCCCTCTTCATTCCTCTTGAGCCAAACCTGGTGTAAGAGGTTTAAAATCGTTATCTCTTGAAAAGCATGGTAAGAGCACTTTATATATATATATATATATATATATATATATTTGTGTCATTGGTTTTGTTATTTTCATTTATGTTTTGAATTTGGTGAATTTATGAGTTGGCAATGGTAACCTTTGGCTTCGTAAAGTAAAGGTACATTAATCTTATTGCTTTAGACAAAAGCAAAAATAATTGAATAGATTTTTTTGTTTTTTGACCATTAAATAGTTAGTTTATTAATGAATGGTCTTACTCTTTTCTATATTGTAAACAAAGATATTATGAAAAGATTTTACAAGACAGGAGATTTGAAACCATTAGCTTTTGCACTAAGGGTTGTAGCAAATTTGAAAAGTGAAACTAATTAAGTGTGACACACAGAAGTGGGACGTAGTTTTCTTAGTGAAAAAAAATAGTTAGTATACATTATTATAAAAAAAATAAATTTAAGGGTTAAAATATCTTTACACACAATTTTACAAATATTATTTGATCATTTATCTCTTTATTACAATAAATAGTTGAGATTTATTATAATTTTTTAGATAAATAAGATAATTTTTATAAAAAATATGATAAAAATTAAATAAAATTTAATCATTTATAATATAAAAATAAATGATCAAAATTTTATATAAAGATTAGATAAAAATTAAATAAATTTTAATCATTTATAATATAAAAATAAATGATCAAAATTTTATATAAAGATTAGGTAAATGAATCTTAATTCAAATTA